AAAAAAATTCTATTTTGATTAGAGATTTTTTGACCTTGATATCTCTCATAGAAAATTTCAAACTAGTGAAAATTTTAATAACTTTTAATACCACTTGTTACGAGTTCACACTTTCAATTTGAAAAACATATATCAGTATGGTATGGTACGTGTGCATGCATTACAAGTATATCATCTTACACTTAGAGCAAAACTTTTAAACTCCACAAGAGGAACTAGAGTTGATATATGTCTTGTTAAAAAATTTTATGAAAATTAATAAATAAATTAATCATTAATGGACTATAACAACCAATTAACTCTACTTGTGGAGCTTAAGTAAAGTAATTTGAGCATAATGTATACATTTCCAAAGTGACAAGTTTTAGAATTTAGATTTCAATTTGGAAACCCTGAATTTGAATTATAAGATGATTTGAAATGAGATTCATAAGAAGACAACAAAATGGTCTTATTTTTTAACCTAAGATCACATGTACCAACATATATATATATATATATATTACAATCATACCTGGTCTTAATATAAATCCAAACCCCGAAGCACCCAGGTTACGCTACCTGGTCCTAATATAAATCCAAGCCCCAAAGCACCCAGGTTGCCTCACCTAAATAGAAATGGTTAATCTATCCAGATTGTCGGTTCACTAATTTTGGAATTATAAATTATTATTATGCCATCCAATGGCTATTGTGAGCGGTTGGGCTATTTGTACATCGAGAAAATCTAATACGTTCATTCCCCAAATGTTCATAGTACAGTGCAAATTGTTAATGGAGGTGGCTTCGATTTTAGTGAATCTCAATAATTTTTTTAATTGCTAGATGTTTGAGTCATTATCGTAAGTTGGAACAGAATTTTCCCTGGTTCATCCATTGGTCTATGCTGGCGTAGTCCGCACACATAAATATTTTACATACCATCCATTCAAGACAGGACGGCAGGACCCCAACCGAAGATTTGGACCTTAGAGAGTTTGACAACTGACGAACTGTCACGGTTGGTGAACGGCGAGTAAGGTCATCAATGGTAGCTAAGATTAGCCCCATTTATGCACATTATGACACTACTTGAGCAGTCTTTTACTCTAACCCATTGAACTGAAATAAAATTATTAGTTAATGAGCAATCCTGAATCATTCTGCAAACTATTATATTTATGGGGCCCTTGGCACATACTCATGCAGATGAAGGTAGGTCCTTAGTCAAGAAGCTGTACTCAAATACTGGTTACTCTGTCCTAGTATAATATATGATGGAATTGTAGTTCCATTTCATGCATTCACATGGCCTAGCCTTCAGCTTTTAGAGAAATTATTAGGTAAAAGGAGGGGTTTTGCGGTTGGTAGTAGGCTTTTCTCTCTGGGTGGCTTCTGGCTTCATTCTAGTGCCATTCATTCACTTTGCATAGAGAAATTTCAACTGCCACAAATCCCACAATGGGGGACAGCCCCAGAGTAGAACCCGAGTTTGTCTTGGTTTTAGGATGATTTGCTCCGAGATCCCAGTAGTTTAACGCTGGAGGAGCTTCGGAATGGTGCTGAAGCCTCCGACCAGATTCATGGTATTCATTTTGCTCTTCCCTTTCATTACTCCAAACCAAGCTACGCTTACATTAGGCCTCCCATCCATCTTTTCATATAACTCATTAGTTAATTGTATCTCAAAATAGACTTAATTAGCCGTATCTTCTCTATATATATCTTAGATGAACTTGTTCACATGTTAACAGTTAAAACAAGCAATATCTTGCTTAATTAAGATTGAAGCTAAGTGTTATGTAAGCATTGTAACTGAATGTTAATTGTCATTAGTTAATCTGTATATGATGGATTGTTCTACAAAGAACAAAAGGCAGAATCGGAGGCTTCCCTCAAGCCTCATCCCTTGTATCCTACTCTCTTTGCTCTTTGCACTTCATTTTGTTTCCTCCTACCATTCCCACCTCCAAGGCTTAAACCTTTTGTTTTGCCAATTCAGTTTTAGAAACCTCAAAGCTTATAAGTACAACTTAATTGATTTGTGTCATTGAGTGACGAGCTGGATACTACGAAATTGCAGTTTGCAGGATTTTGGTAAACTAGAACCTTGAAATTTGAAGAAGGCCATGAATTCAAAGAAATCTCACAACCTAGCCGAAACAATTCATTCCCTACTGGGATTCAAGTCCCATTTAAATTCTACTTGGGTCAAGTCAGTCTGTGATATAATAAAGAATTTACCACATGAAGGATCGACTGGCAACAAATGTGAGGGATCTGCTACTGATAGCTCCAAGATAAAAGGTACACCAACCCCAATCCGTTCTTAAAAATCTTATCCGGTATAGATGTGTATCTTTAGTCTATGTGCTTGCTTGCTGTAATCAATCTCTCATTAATTCTGATCCCTGCTTGTACCCCTCCCTCTGTTTTTGGTGTTCACGTTAACAGAAGAACTTGCACCCTTAAACGACTGCCTAAACCAATTGAACATGCAAAGGAGGCAGGTCTTGAATGATTTGTTGGACTTGAAAGGTTAGTCATTTTATATTCTTGAGTTAAGTTATGCAAGGATGGTCATTGAACAACAACCTGTTGCAGCCATAATTGAATATGATGATTGAAGAAAATTAAAGTGTGGTAGAGGCGTGCGCTCATCATATTTATGCGGTCATATTGCAGGGAACATTCGTGTTTTTTGCCGTGTGAGGCCCTTCACGTCGGGGGAAAATTTAGAACGTTTAGGACCTGTCGTAGCTTTGGATACAGGTAGCCTCCTTCTAAAACTTGCTGATAACAAAAGTAAAAGATACACCTTCGACAAAGTGTTCCACCCAGGTTCCTCGCAAGGTACCGTCCAAGTCTTCCTCTTCCTTGATTTCATTTCTTAATATTTACTATATACTCATAATGGATTGCATAAATGTCTTTAACATTTCAGATGGAGTCTTTTCAGAGGTTGAACCGGTCATCAAATCCGTCCTTGACGGTTACAATGCGTGCATTTTTGCATATGGTCAAACGGGAACTGGAAAAACTTTCACAATGGTGACCACAGTCTACTATCTTAATGCTGATAGTATTATAACATAGCTAGTAGTAAATATCTTTTCAACTCTGATGAAACTGTGGTCAATGCTTGGTTTCCTTGGTATAATTGTAAACATCTTTGATCTCATCAACAATTGAAATGTGATAATTCTTGACACAACCATACAGGAAGGTACTTCGGATTCCCCTGGAATTGTGCCCCGCACGATTGAGGCTTTGTTCAAGCAAAGCGCAGAGAGTAACCATACTTTCCTTGTAACTTTCAGTATGCTTGAGATTTATTTAGGAAATCTCAAAGACTTGCTTGTACCACAGCCCATGAGGCCAACAGATCCTCTGCCACCGTGGTGAGTATGCAGTACAGTTTGTTGAGTGCCTTGACGCAAATGCCTGCTGATTCGATACTGTGATGCCTGTCTGCAGCCTTTCAATTCAATCAGATCCCAAGGGAGGAATCGAAATTGAGAACCTAGTTACCATCCAAGTAAGCGACTTCAACCAAGCTTTAAAGCTGTATAGATTAGGATGCCGACTCAGATCAACTGCCTCAACAAATTCAAACACAACTTCAAGCAGATCCCACTGGTAACTAGTTTTTGCTGACCAGAATTTTCAAGGAATATTTAGAGCTCAGATTCTTCAACTCAGTTCTACTCTCTAGAGGCCCTGAGAGCAGAGCTGAGCTTGAGATACATTCCTGGCAGGCAAACTACTTTTGGTTTCTGATTCTAATTCTGGAAACTGCATAGTGAATAGAAATACTATCATTTTTCTACCCCTAACTACGTTGTGTTTGTTGCTCCTCTTAGCATGATTCGCATCTCAATTACTTGCTTCAATGCTCCTGAGAGGCGACGAGAAACAAATAAAATTTGGTTAGTTGACCTTGGAGGAAGTGAGCGTGTGATGAAGACGAAGGCATGGGGTAGAAGACTTGATGAAGGAAAAGCCATTAATTTGTCTCTTTCTGCTCTGGGAGATGTAATCAATGCTCTTCAAAGGAACAAGAACCACATACCATATCGGTAAGCCCGAATCAAAATACAGCTGGCGTTCACTAAGAATGACTCAACCTGATCTTGTGAATCATAGATTTAATCCTGAATCACCAGCTTTTTTTCTTAAAAATACTTTCCACAGGAACAGCAAGCTGACACAGGTTCTTAAAGATTCCTTAGGTAACTGATTCTTGACTGAATTCCAGTTTCCACTTATCTAATTGTTTTACCAACCCAGTGCTTGAGTTCTAGGGCTAAAATATAACTCTGATCTCGGTCCACTGTGAGGATTTTTGCATTTCGTTGTCCTCAAATTAGTTCACTTTTATTCACATGAAAGGTGCATATCGTATTTGCAAATCCTAAATTAGATATTCTTTGCTATTTAAAATTTTCTATTTACCTTTTCATCTTTAGGCGAAGATTCAAAAACACTGATGCTTGTACATGTCAGTCCCAAAGAAGAAGATCTATGTGAAACAATATGTTCATTAAATTTTGCAACAAGGGTGAAAAGTGTTCATTTGGGGCATGAGGAGTCCAATGTAAGTTATCCTGCCTAGTTTTGTATACTTATTTATCTTCACAAGTTAGAGCTCATTTGGCCACGCTCCCACAGTGCTGCACCCCTAAACAGCACTGGACCCACCATGCTGCATTGCATGGCCAAATGTGCCTTTTAATGGTTCAAGTATAACGTTTGATTATGTACAATTAACATGCTAACGAGACCCAAAACTGTGTTGTGTAGAAATAGCATCATGCTTTAGTAAATTCTAGATCGAAATGAGAAGATTAATGCCAATAAATATTATGCATGCAAATTGATAGAACAGAAATTGGAAAACAAGGAAAAAGTGAGGGAGAGGAAAAATGAAAACAAAGAGATCTCACAGATCTCTAGTCATGGTATGGATTTGAAGAAGCTGCAGTAGACTAGTCATTTCTCTTTTTAAGATACACTTGTGGGAAAGAAATATAAGATTCCATTAAAATATCACCAATGATTCTCCTGCATCAAAACCCATTCACTTGGAAGAAATGAATAATTAATGTTGTACATCGACACTCTTAGTTATTAACGGTCATTACGTGGCTGGTTTGCAATGATTGCCATCTCACCACCTCATCCCATCATTTGATGTAGAAAACTCTTCTATGTCATCATAAATTGCTCTTATGAACGTACGTTTGATCACTTGGATGAACCATAAAATATCAGGAAGTAAGAAGCCACAAGGAAGCTGTTATGAAAAATCTGCAGCAGAAGATTGAAAAGATTGAAGATGAACGCCAACATATTGGAAGAAAGATAAAAAGGTTAAAAGACAAATTAGAAGGTCTGACAAGGACGGGTCTATCTTTGGAAGAGCAAGTGCAGCTTTCTCAATTATCTACCGAAGGGCCTCCTCCTGACCTTGACTTTACGAAGAACAGGATTGGAAATGTCATAACAGCTCTCCCATCACAACTGCCTAGATTTATGAGATCAACTATTTGTAGCAGAAGAAAATCTGGGATGGAGCATCAAAGATCAGTTGGGAGAGATCCAGTTCATTCAAGGAGAAGACAATCATCTCAGCGAGCTGAGTCAGTGACTTTCCCAGTGAAGGATAATTCAGAATGCAACTCTGACCGCAGCATTTCAAGATCTACATGTGCAGCGGAATTGAACATGAAAGCTAGTATAGATAATGACACAGTATACAGCCAAGACATATCTGAGTTTGATATAAAAATGGTTGTATTTCCGGAGCAGGATATATCACAAGTAACATCCAATCATCAAACGACGGCCCAGGTTAGTCACCTTGAGAAAAATAGAAGTAGAAAATCAAACAAATGTTACTCCACAAAAATTTTAAAGGTTGATCAATGGCTTGACTTATATAAAAGTGAACCTAGTATTAGTGGTTATGCTCCAAGGAATAACTGGGTTTTAGACATTCCTATCTCAGAGAAGAAACATAGGACAAATGGACTGAAAAAGACAGAGATATTATGGAATGAGAAGGTGTCTACATATGACTTTGCAAGGCAAAGGATTCACAGTAAAAAGGAGAAGTGGGCTACTTTAGAGGTAGCTGGAAGGTCTGTTTCTGAAAGGGTGGGAGCCAAACCACTAACGTTAAGGGATTTATTTGTTGAGGAATCAATATCTAGTTTCATTTCTCCACCTCATGCAACAAGAGGCGAGACAACAGAACACCCACAAGACTCACTAGATGGCTTATTGATAGAGGACAAGCAAGGTGGCAGTCTTTCTCCACCTGATTTTTGCTGCAATGGATTAGAACAATTTGATAATGAAAATGAATTCTATGCAACACCCATGGTGCAGGCAATAAATGACACAGCACAATCTTCAGACAGGTCCACGCTAAACAATAGCAGGTACCAGTTTTCTCCATCAGACATGGATAATTGTATAAGCTACTCACAAGAAACTTTTGATGTTTCGGCCTTAGCATCAGAGCTGGAATGGTACCATGAAAAAGCACCTAGCAAAATGGCTACAGAAGTTGGTGGAAATGAGGACATGGCTGCCTCATCTCAATCCTCACAAAAAGAGATTAGACAAAACCTGTGCAGACTGAAATCTCAAAGAGCATTATTTGCGGATGACATAAAACAAAAAGATCTCAAGATGACACTCATAGAATCAAAAGAAATCACACAGAACAAAGGTAAGAATTTTAGGCCTAAACCAAAAATGACTCTATTCTTTAACTATGCTCATTCTCAACAGGTAGCATTCCCCTTCTAGGAGCATATGATTTCTGGAGTCTTAAACTATAGCTTTATAAATTATTTCTAATCTCTTCTTCTAGGAGCATGTCATATCCTTAAACAGAAAGTTCAGATTTCATGGGCCAGTGCTCTTCTAGGATTGGGATTCCTCGACTTGGGATTCGATCATGACTTCTTCTATGGTCTAGTGCTCTGAAGCAGCTGCAGTGCATGACAGAGTGACATCAAGGAATTTCTACTTAATTCGCATTAAAGTTGGAGGTTGAGCAAATATTAAGATTGAATGTTTGCACAAAACCTAAATGTTCCAATCGTGCTCTTGCATCTGCTAAGGTTTTAACCCCAATAGGACAATGCAGCATCTATTCATATATGTAAAATATGGAGGTGCAATGAGATAGTTCTCATTTTATCTCAAATGTCGTAAACAATGTCTGTTTCAAACTCTTTAGCTAGAACTCTGCTGCAATGAAACAAAAAGTGACAGTTCTGGACGTGCACTTAGTAGGCTGCAAAGGCTATGTGGTTGCTGCAAATATGTATTTATAAATTAAATTCATATATATGGGTATTCATTGGGCTTATTTAGATGTTTCTATATGATAAAACAAATGGCAGATATCATCTTGTTTACATGATTCGCATTCCATTTCTTAACGGCTCTCTCTCATGTCTTCTCATGACATAAATAGAAACTAAAAGCATAAACAAATGATATAAAACATCACAGTAATTGCAATTTGCTACAAAATGTCTCATTGAAATCCCATCCATAAGTTTAAAAGTTTTCTGATCAATTTGATAGCTTTGTCAATCATAATGTAATTCACTGCAATAATTTTGTCATTAGAGTATGAATCCCCTCCTCTTCCCCAACTGGAAAAAAAAAACAGAAAAATTGTTAAGCATTTGTCTCTACTAGGACCCAATAAATCTATTGGAAATCAGTTTAAGTCAGAGGGTCAGTCCAAGCATCTAAAAGTTCTCACCATAAACTTTATAGAATTACTTCCTTCATAAGATGCCTTGGAGAAATATGGTCAAATCTTTCACTAAATGCTGTTAGAAGCCCTTCTTCTTTCTTCATTTTTGTTTTTAGTTTTTTTTTTTTTTTCCTTTTTCCCCTTGTTACTTCTTCGCTATATTACAATTTTAAGAGATTTTTATGCGTAAACACATAACATCACAAACTTCAGGAAGTTAAAGCTACAGATGGATCTGCCTGTTCACCCTTCTTATTCTTTTTTGTTTCCCCCACTAAAAGTTTGGCTTAAACATGCTGCTATGCGTGGAAGGAGAACAGGAATTGTGAAACTTGACGAGTGGGAAGCAGTATGGGGAAGTGAAAGAAGAGAAGGCAATATGTGTGGAAAAAGCTACGACTGTGAGCAGCTAAATAGAGGAGACTTTGGAAACACGTACCTGCTACTGATGAGATGGCACATAGATTTCAATGCAACCAATGTCCACTGACAGGCATGATGTGTCTATACATCAAGTACAACCATGCAGAGAACAAGGCATGTACTTCTTTTTAGCTGACCTGTTACTGTTCTGAATTGAGAAGACGGATCACATTTAAGGGAACTGCAATCACTTATGTGGAAATGCTGCTCGTTCCATTAAAGCTGGTCCAACTCCAGAGTCATAATTAAGAAGTAATTATTTATCCCATCAGCCATCAAAATCAAGAAGCTCATCAAATTCGCTAAGCAAATGATGAACAATTTTCAACTGCTCGTTCAAGTTGAATAGGATTCCATGTATCCTATCATACTGAGGGTGCGATACGTCTCCTGCAATGAATTCGTGAGCTCTATTACTCACCTGAATGAAACTCCTACCCGGCATCTTTGGAACACCTTTGTCCCTCATCATCTTCCTTGTTATTACAGACTTATCCCACCTGCCACCTGAAGCATATATATTGGATAAAAGTGCATAGTTTCCACTATTCCAAGGCTCCAACTCTATCAAATGCAGCAAAGCTAACTCTCCCAGCTCAGCATCAGCATGAATATTAGAGGCAGCAAGAAGTGACCCCCAATATAGCATTTGGCTTAAAAGGCATCCGACTAACTAGTTCCAGCGCTTCTCTTAGGTAACCTGCTCGCCCAAGTAAATCGATCATGCAACCATAGTGCTGAATCTTGGGTTGAATCCCATACCTGGAACTCATAGTATTGAAAAAGCAGCCGCCCAAAGCAACCAATCCAACATGAGTACAAGCAGAGAGGACGGCAATGAAAGTGATATCATTGGGTTGGACTTGAGCCCTTTCCATCCGAGAAAACATTTGGAGAGCTAATGTTCCAAGCCCGTGGAATGCCAGCGCAGATATGATGGTAGTCCAAGTTATTACAGTTTTATGGTTCATGTTCTCAAATACTTGCAACGCCTTGCAAATATCGCCTGACTTGGCATACATTTCAATAAGTGCATTTTTTAGGGGAATCATTTGATTGAATCCATGCTTATGAATGTAGCCGTGAATGCACTTCCCCAATAGAAACTGAATGGCACCTAAATGGGACAAGCAGAAAGCACAGCCAACATAGAAATCTCGTCAGGCTTCACATTCTCCAACTGCATTCTACGAAACACAGCGATGGCCTCGTTGGGGCGGTCTATTTGAGCATAGCCCGCAATCACAGTCGTCCAACAAACCATTACTGCTTCTGCTTTTGTTTGAGTTTGGAGCATGCGCTCCAACAAATCCCGGGCAGCATCCGGGTCGCCAACCTTGGCATACGCAGCGATCATGGCACTCCAAAGGGCAACGTCTTGTATAGATCTAGAGACGGAGGTGAGTTGGTCGAACAGCTTGCGAGCATCCGAAACGCAGGCACACGAGGAATACATTTGAATGAGAGCCGTCGCCACGTAGATATTGGCGTTGAGTCCAGCGCATACGGTTTGAGAGTGAATCTGAGTTCCAAAACGAAGGGCCTGCAGGTCTTCAACCGCCTTCAACGCAAACGGGAAGGAGTAACTGTCGGGGCGCAACTTGGCCCGGGCGATGCTTTTGTAAACATGGAGAGCCTCAAAGGCAGAGTGAGAGAGTGTCAGTGCTCTGATCATGGTGTTGAACACATATATGTGGGGCTGTGAATTGAAGGCAAACACAGAGTACGCGTAGCCGGAGAAGCCCAGAGAAGAGCATGCCTCGATAAATTGGCTGAGGAGAATCTCGTCGTGATTAAGGGCTGTCCGTACCATGAATCCATGTGCCTGCTCAACATGTTTCAGGTTGGAGCAGCGCTTCAGTAAGCAACCCAACTCTCTCATTGTCATTCTCCGCTGCCCCTACACTACAATTCAGCGCTCTCTTCTTTCTTCTCCCTACTTCAAGGACGGACCGGGGATGGCTCATCCCTTTGCGCACGTGTGTGCACAAAAGTACTGCGTCGACTGGAGTGACCTTTCTAATGTATGAGAGCACCAGCTAATTTTGATGCTTTTGAGCTTTGGGCTGTGGCCCGGGTTCGCCTTGAAATTTTTTTACTGCTTCAAATTAGTTATGTATTCTATAGTACTTCGTGTTTTTAAATTTTAAGGTAAGATTTCTTAGTATTTATATTTGATTTATGGACATTGTATAGTTTTAATACATTGCCAGGCTTCTAAAAGACATCACCTCATTAATAATCTAAAATTAAATAGTAAAAATTTCTTTAAAAATACATTTAAGATAAAACTAAATATTAATAATTTTTTCTAAAAATACATAAATAATATTTTTTCTCTCTCTCCATCTCTATTCGTTATGACAAAATTATTGTGTTAACTTCAATAGTGAGAAGGGCTAGGAAAGTCTTGGCTCGAGGACGTGGGTTAGGAAAGTCGGATTCTAGCTTCCATTTGGGACTTTGATTGCCAATGATTTTGTTGCTTGTGGTAATGGCAGTAGTCTCCACAGTGAAAAGGCTGGTAAGATTTCATTGCATGGTTTCTAATTTCCATACAAGAATCAAAAGACAGCAAGACATAAATTGATTAATTAAATTAAAAGGCCACAACCAAAGTAAAATCAAACTTATACGTGCAACAAAATTTGGCTGTCAATTTAATCGCCAAAAAGTCCCTTGAACAAGATTTAATGCTAAACCTTTAGTTGGGAAAAGAGACAACAATGTATGCACTTCAAAATTTTGTTAAGTTGTCAAATATAAACCCTAATCAAATAAAAGTGGAAACTCAACCTCCAAACTCAGCAAGAACGAAAATGTAACTGGGCAAACGGAAGCATTCAGAAGAACAAAACTTATCATCACAGCCAATCAATGTTGGTGCTTCCAACATAAGGAAAAACAAATAGACAAATACCAAAAGAAACAATCAGAACTCCCACATCATATACGAATTGAAAGAGATTTAAATAACAAATACCCAGAAGAGATACCCCTTTTCATCATTCGAGTTTTTGTTCAGATTTTGAAAATGGAAAAAAGAGGGGTTGGTGCTCTTCGAGTGACGATGGAAATCAAACAAAATAAAACTTTTGTTTGACAAATTTCATTTCATTGATATCAAAATAATTTCATTTTGGGTTTGGGATTTCTTTTGTGAAGGGTTGGTGAAGCATGCAAAGAGATCACGTACAGTTAATTTAAGAACCATAGAAATATATATCACGTTCCCTTTGTACCCTCTCACGCCATTAAAGCTGGGTTAGAGAAGAACGAACGCTATTTATGTTTTTCTCTCACACCCTCAACATATATATATAAACACACAATATATTAAATGAATATATCAATAATGTAAATAAAAATAAAAATTAATTTACAGAAGAAACAAAGATAGAGAGCAGAGTGACGTACAAGACACCAACACCGTGACTGACTCAACAACAAAGAGATTGGAAGAAGGGAAGGAAGAGAGGAAAAAGGAGCCATAGTTTTGGTGGGAGGTATAAGAGGTTTTTTTTTTTTTTTTTTTGTATTTTTTGAAAGTTTTTTTTTTGACGGATATTTTAGTTATTTTATAACATTCGTTTTAGTTAATTTTTTCTCCTCTTTGATTTATAACTCTTTAATAAATGAGATTTAAATGTTTTTATAAACACGAAAAAAGATCTAGTTTTAATTTATATATTGAATCCTTAATCCTATCTATTATAAGATTTAAAATTTTCTATATAGCCTTACACTCTTAACCAATATATAACATTGGAGTTATTATATCATATTATGAACTATATAATATTATCTCTTTATCACAATCAAATTAACTTAGTGTAATTTGATAAAATACAAAAGCAAATAATGTAAATTTACACTTTAAGGTTATAAGAAAATTTAACAATCTCCACTTGGATTACATTATTTAAATTTAAATTTTAAGGGTATAATCACATATACAACTCAATCTATTGACTTGAACTCAATGTAGTAGTGTAGCAATGAATAACAATACGTCCTTAATGATCTGTTTAATGTATTGTATTCATTTGGCAGTCACTTTATTCTTTATTTTATACAACTCAAGCTTGCAAAAGGAATCCTTAATGGTTATTCAATTCACCTATATGTCTACCTTATTAATGTCGAGGTGTTGTAAAGACATTTCATCATTATGAAAGACTCTAATCATACGAGGTTAGAAACCTCACTAAAATGAATACCAATCTTGACAAGGTTAGAAAAACCCTAGAAGATAAAAATAGTCAAAATCTCACTTTTTTTAGCTAAGCCAAAGATATTAAAATCTTTTATTGTTTTGAAAGAGTTTAGAGAAAAAAACACTCTTGTTTAAGAAAATATTCTTTATTAAATCTTAACTTGAATATCTCATAACTAAACTTAAGAATCCTATTTATAATATTATAGGTCCACGTTTTAATAAACTCTAGTTCTAGTTGTCTAATATAATTAGAGTAGTAAACAAATGATTTAAATAAATAGGTATTCTATTCCTAAATAGGTCATGACTAGCCTAATCAAATAATAATCCTTAAAATGCTAAAAATCCTAATAAAAATAAGAAAAGAACTTAATTTAAATAGAATAACGAAAATAAATCCTAAACTAACTAAATTAAAAAAAACTAAATTAAATAAAATTGAATTTTTGATGCTCCTACATCATCCTCCTTCGGTTGAAAAAAAACTCAACTCCAATAAGTAGGCCTTAACATATTCTTTGCAGATTTTTGGATCCATATACCATCATGGTCCACACCAACCATTTGAATAATTCATTTTGTGTTTTGAAGACTATTTTCCATTCATCTCCAAGTTATATTTGAATTTGGCGGCATCCACTCTTCAAATTGATCTTTGAAAACACCTCGAACCACTAGTTGATCAAGCATCTCATCCAATCGAGGAATAGAAAAACAATACCTAACTATAATTAGGCCTTTCTCCAAAAGTTGTTAGATTTGATGCTGTAACTCCTTATGCTTTTCTAGACTCATGCGACAAGAAGGTTTGTTTGGAATTACAGAACCAAGGATGAAATCGATGGCATGTTAAATATCTCTCATCGGTGGTAGTCCATGGGGTATCTCATCAGGTACAACATCACAAAACTTCTCAATTATGGGTTTGACCGTTGGGTAAACCCTACAACCAATTAGGATTGGTCAAGGCTTGATTCCAAGCATGCAACATATCATTCATGTTGAATGATTAAAGGTTTTCCTTCATTAATAAGACTTTAATTATAATGGGTTATATATCTAATTGGATGAAGTCCATGAGATTGATATGCTTTGCAAGGAAATTGCAATGGATTGTAGTTATGAGAGTCTTAAATTGCAAGGAAATTGCAAGGAAATTGCAACAATAACTTATTTCAATGGTTTGAATTGCTAACCTAGAGTCTTAAATTATTTATTAGAGTCTCCCGACTCATCTTATAAAAATATCTATTTTAACCAAAACACTATATCCCTATGTGAATTGAAATTAAAATAGATTCATTAAGTTTAGGCTCTAATCTGGCTACATATGGCCTATAGGTATATCCTATCCTATACGCAAATCAATTAATATGATCATATGCTATCCCAATTTTAGTCTACACTAAACTCCCTTTCCCAAGTTTGTTTAGGTTCCTAAATCAATTTAACTGGTGGCCAAGCAATTAAAAGCATTAAGAACAAATTGGAATAAACAATTCAAATCCCATTGAAAATAAGCAAGAAAGTGATTAAAAATTTAGATTACATGTGAGTTCAATTGCAATCCTAGAAAAATATATTAGCTCATAATATCTAATAAAGACAACATCCAAAGAAATTTAGTTATGAATCCAAGTCAAAGAAAATAAGAAAAACACAAAGGTAAGAGAGAAAACTAATAATTAGAGCTTTGTGATCTTGATTCTCCCTCCAATTCTCTTATTTTCTTACTTTTTTCTTAGCTTCCAATCTTCAGAATAGTTGCTTGTTGCCTCTCCCTCAAAATCTCTTAAAAAGGTCTCTTAAATAGGCTCTAAATAACCTAATTTTCAAAATCCCATCAACTTCTTTTATATTTAGAAAGTCGCCCAGCACTGTGGCACTACTTCTCCAGTACTGCAGCGCTGAGCTTTTTGGAAATTTTGTGTGTCTGCTTCCTTTCATCAACGCTGCAGCCTTGTTCTCCCAATGCTGTGGTAGTCTATCAAATTCAAACATGAGTTTTAATCTGATATGTTCCGAACTGGGAAAAGTAGTAAACACAAAAGTTTTATCCCTATCTTTTACTTTCCAATGGATGAAGAATCACATCAATTGAACTCTTGGATTGAAAGATATGCTCCAAATACCGCATCATATTCAGTCCTTCCATACTGCTGCAGTGCTCTGTCTTTGGCAAATGTTTTGACCATGATCCAATCAGAACTGGATGAATTGATAAAAATAAATGTTGTAGATCTTCTTCTTATAATTTTATTGGCCTAAGAATCACCTCATTTGGAGTTTGTTAGAGAGAGATATGGTCAAACAATTAAAACATATACGAATGAAGTCATCGCCATACTTGCACTGATTTTCATCAAATGAGCCTTTTTCATAAATTTCCTACAAAAGCCATAAGAGAAATTAGCAATAACTACTCTTAAAGTAATTTCAAACAAAACAATATAAAATTTAACTAAAATAACTTAAATCAGTCACTTAACAAGTAATCAAACTTAAACTAGAAAAACACCTAAAATGCTAAAATTCGAACCTAAAATCTCAAAGATCTAGCTACTTAAGCCCCCAAAATGTGTCAAAATAACTCTATATAATAGAGTTATCAACTGGACATCAATGATACTTTGAGACTGGTACGGTTTATGTTTCTTACTTGGGAAGTAAACAATCGATCTTATAGATTGAAGTATAGAGATACTTGGAATTTGAATGTAAGTGCTTACCTAGGAGAGCAAGTTCATTGGCTATGACCTTTCATGAAAAGTGCATTTGGTATTTTACTCAAGTGTCTATG